ACGGGAAATTACCCTCTGCCTCTAATTGAAGAACATTGAACATTGAACATTGAACATTGACTCAGTCTAACCAGTTTCTCGTCAGTGTGGAAGTGTTCAGAGGATACTGTCACATTCAGGAGTAGAAACAGTTGATAGGACAAAAGTGGACAGAATAGAGGAATGAAAAGTGATTGGAATATAAAATGTAAACGCATCAGTTTCATATTTTCTCGGAAGTTCGAATATCCCCATGATAGAATTGAGAAAACGAGTCGGTGAGCGAACAATCGTTTTCGGACGAGAGGCGACCGCCATTCGCTTACTAGGCCCCAATCTGTGTGAACAAAAGCGACTGGTGCAAGCGCTCCAATTGCCCTGGTCGGGGTTGGAAGCCAAGACAGAACATGACGTGTCACTTGACCCCAGTGGGGAAAGGTTACATCAACTAACACGCTAAACATCCCTACAAACACACCCTCTACTCCGATTGATGATCTTAAATTGAGCCAATGGCTGTCATTATGTAAGAATGTTTTCCACTTTGTGGTGTGTAACAGTATGACTAGGTGTATCCGAATATGATTGTTCGCTCACAGACTCGTTTTCTCAATGTTCTCGAAACTTTGCGAACCTTTCTCGAGAGCGCTGAATTTGTGTATGAAAGTGCATCCCTGACGTGAATTTCAAAGACCGATGGGAAAGCGACCACCCGCAATTTCCTTCATTGTATGCTGCCTATAACTCAGGCGTTTAACGCACAAGCTTGGTCAGCCTAATATATTTTTCAGCGTATGCTTTCCTGCAACATAATGAACACTACTCAGAATTATATAGCGACGCCCGCCCTCCCAGCATAAATTCCCGAAAAGATCCTCGAGTATTGTGAATATTTTAGTTTCGTTTATTTCATTTTTCAGCGAATACTTTATTCTGCACAGTCACGGAAACAAGGATCTCCTGGAATAGAAGAAATGAAGAAAATGTTTTGTTACAAAAATTCACTTCAAGTAGTCGGTAAGTTTTATCAACCGAATTATGCTAAAATTGTTGGAAACAGGTCAACAAGGTTCTTCGTAGCTCATATATCACACTAAATAAACTGATCGGGATTTCATTCAAGAAAGACAGATAAAATCTGTATTATTGGTTATGTTTATGAAAATACTTACGTGATGCCATTTACGGACATAATTTGATGAGCTGGTTTGAAAAACAAGAAAAACAAAATGCCAGTTTTGAATAGGTGTATCGGTAGTGAGTATATTGTCGCTTGCTAATTGGATATGATCGTGGGGATACTCTAGTCGGTTTTTCATCGACCTTTTCAGAGTGGATTCCAGAATCGATTCATCAGTTCACTGCATACTCAGTCTGCATAAACACCATCATCAGCCGAGCAAATTGGAAACGCATGCATTCAGCTGTACTGCCCCATATATCGATAGCCACGATGTGACAAATATTACAGTCAATGCCATTTTGAAAGTATTTAGTTATCCATTTCGATTATCAAGCTTGGATTAGCTCATTCAGTTGTATAGAGGCACCAGGTACACCTGATAGTCCGACCAGGACGAAACAGCTACTCTTTGTGGTTTATGTGAAACATTTCCATGGTATTTGGCTATCCATTTTTAAGAATTCTCAAATTATCATGCAATCTTCTGTCTGGAGATGAAATCGTGGTGGTCTTAGCTCTGTCAGAATATTATATCAATTTGCAGATAAAACACAGCTAATGGCATATGTATCGTAATGACTCCGAGTGGTTATGTGCAATTCGTTTTCATAATGATTGACAGGTAGCGATAGAATTCATTTAACCTGTGATGATCCATCTGATGGCATTGATCAGTTTTCAGTCTCACAATGGACCAGTCAACTGAGAATGGATCAAGAAGCATTATTTGGAGCACTCATGTAATTTGATGAATCAAGCAATCCGAAACTTGCTTACTTCAGAGAAGATTTAGCCAACTTGTGGATCGTCGATTGAAGCAGTCACAAATAGATGATGCAGTGCTAAATGGCAACTCATCTTTTATACATATATCAGCAGCCTTTATGTAACTTATCCTAACCACAAGTGGCTTATAAATCACACTCAATTAAATGCTGAGATTGATTTCGAGTGTGAAGTAGACTTACGTGACAGGCAGCCTGCGGGTCTTCTTTCTCCACGAATTCAACCACGGTCTGGATTCCGTACGTTACGGCTTCTTTGCACTACGGTTAAAGAATATGGGAATAAAACATCAGTAACCGTTCAATGTTCATTCGTTTTCAGTTGAATAACATTCACTGATCAAAACGATATTCATGGTTAGGTTTATCCGGTCAGCACAAAAACGTACCATGCTGTACATCGCCCCGGTATGTTTGCATGCAGAGTCAATCATTTTGTCACAGAATGTTTCAAATGATGGGGTCTTTAACAGTTTCTTCAATCCATCCAATGTGGTTGTGCAGAATTGGCAGTAGTCGACTGAGGACATGGAGAAAATGTGAGCAATATGCTTAATATTCGGGTCGATCAAAATATTCCCAGTAATCTTTTTGGCAGATGCTACTCACTTGTGTTTAATGCGCAAAAAGATGTGATCGGCGGTTTCTGTCAATTGCCAAAAATGTACAAGATCTGTTGGAGTGAATTGCTGTCGTTTGGTATGGTGAACACAAGAATGCGCATGCAGTAGTGGAATGTTCTACCAAATATCCCGGATGAGTGTGGGACTTCTGTAAACTGCTTCCAAATGAGACATTTTGCTGTAGGAATGACAATTTACTGATACTGTGACCGTTCTTAGCAATAAACAACTCTCCACGACCAGGTATCGCCTAGTGGGATTGTAACAGCTCTACCAGTATCTCAGTCACACTCAGGGTTACCAGGGCGAAAACGCGACCGACTAAGAAACACTAACTGCTAGTCAAGCCATGAGACGCACATTTACTACGGCAGCAATACACAACAGTTTCTCTGCCTCGTCTGTCACTGATTTACATCTCAAAGACAGACTATACCCTCAGGTTACTTCTGTAGACATCTACTAGACAAATTTAAGTTATCATTTGATGAGTTATTGGAAAATAGGCGGAGTCTCCTATCGGATTTTGTACTAAAACACACTCGGGAATAAATTATGATTTAATAATATCCCCATGTTCAAGTGCTCTCCACTGTTGTCTTCCATGTGATCAACACTTACACAATAGAATAAGAAATGAATATTTCAAATCTACCCACTGGTTGATCCAGTGATTGAAACAAAAAAGGACTTCTTTATTCAAGTAAAGGGTGAATGCCCGCGAACAGGTAAAGAGATTTTGTGACACCAAACTTGCACTGAAAGCTTTGAGTCTCCAATGGCCAACTGTGAAAACAGAATTGACGTAATTCTTTATACAAAGCAAGTATTCAATTATTTGAGTGTTTAATTTATTAAATATTTTAGAATGTCTACTGCATCCTCTGCAATGTCACGAATACACAATTCATGTCCGTTCCACTGAAACATGCTGTTTGGTAACCTGCATACAAGTGCTTTATTTGGCCACGGAATCAATCATGTTCGATTTAAGAATTCGCATACATTGCTTACATAAGTGACGAAAATATTGGACCAGGTTTCAGTAAATGAATGAAAAATGTACTGAAGTACATTTTTCATTCATTTACTGAAACCTGGTCCAATCATCTACCCCAGTTGTGATCTGAGGATTGATTATGCTCACCACGCATGATTTGCTTTCTCCAATCTACCTCAAAATGGCTGCGTTCTTTCAGTTTCTGCAGTGCGCCAATAAAAATACAAGGTAATAAACTAATCAGCGATAATTATTTTGATTAAAAAAGGTGTAACACACATTTTGTAGTCTGTCATCACGGAAGTTATTAGTATCTGTGCAAGAATGCTTTCTTGTGTTTTACAATAAACTTTGACGCACATTTGGTTTCAAACAAATAGCTGATGCATCAAAATTGAACCCAAAGTAGGAAAGTGTTTGCTAGTTTTCTTCACTCACCATTTTCTTCATCCAGCTAAAAAATAATAAAATGAAAAATATCCTTTTATTAGGTACTTGCGTNACTTGCGTAAGTCTAGTTGAATATTGCAAAATCTTGGATTCCAACAACATTAAAACAGTACAGACAAGATGGCAAATGAATGATAACTGAAGTCTAAAATACCATTTGCTTATAGACACCTCATCTTACTTGGTTCGGAATCGCCAAAGTAGTGGCCAGAATAGCAGCGAAAACCAAGCAGATAGGACTCATTTTGCACGGCAATTATTGTTTGAGTTAATGTTGTAGACGAAATGTACCACCATTATATAACCTACTCGTGTGCATTTTCGAGGATGAAAGTTCACGTTTTCTAATCGAGCATGGAATATGTCACACAATAAATAAGGTGTGATCTGAATTGTGCACTGTTGAAATAAATCCCGTTTGACTTTGCACCTTCTGTTTGGTCAAAGTTCAACTGAATGGGAGTGGGGTGAATGGAAACCCCACTTTCATTATATGGGACAGTTAGTCGATGTTTTCACGTCGATATATATGCAAGTTCTCAAATTGCATTGATATGCAACACCCAACTCATAGTGCTCACTCAGCATTGTACTGTGTTGACTTTCCTTGTCTCTGAGAACAGCAAGTACTTCTAATGGCAATCACAAAAAATAATCATTGTTTTGCAACTTTTCTGTTTCCTTTCAACCGATCTTCAAGTTCCATTCATTGTAAAAACAGGGTTTAGAGATTTTAAAGCGAATATTTATTGATTATGATTAGCATAACATCTGAAATAAAACAGAAGCTACTCTTCAATGGGAAGTTATGGGGATTTTAATTGAGGTTTTCTTTACTCCACATACGACTCCTTTCACGTCTGAGTAAGTGAATGATGGAAGATAGCACCATGATCTTTCAACATACTTTGATTTTGGTCAACAAAATAAAAAAAAACGGAAATTTGCAATAGTGGATCACAACAAAATGATGTTATTGTATACCTGACTACCTGGTTGATTTCTGAAAGAGATCCGATCGAGGACTAACTCGCTGCCCACATCAATATGGCTCCTGTATCTCAAATAGTGAAATAAACTCTCAAGGGCAAATGCCACCCCTTTTAGAAAAATGCGTTTAGGTTAATCCGGTTGACTGTTTACCGGCACGGATACTGTTTCATATTCTTAGGCGTGGGTGATCAATTCATTGTAGTTCGTTTCTCACATGAGGATTTATGTTTATCATCGATCCAGTCCGGCACGAGTACGGGCACAAATTTACTCACTCCTGAGAAGTCCCTAAAAGGTTGAAACAGCTGTTTAATGCTGTTTTTCGGTCGTTGCATAGATTTCGATTACGAATTGGTAAACACTCATCTCGAAAAACTTGACAGAGGGATTTGGCTCAGATGGCTTGTGTTTGAAATACATTCAGAAACCACGAACATGCCTCATTTGTGCATTTATTTGGGGCTGATTTTCCACTACCAGAGAGCTCTGGGCCGTAAACAGTAGACCTATAGTATCATGCATTAATCAGGCGTTGCTGTGGAAAGAGTGAAATACGGTTGGAGTTGGATATCGAACTTGACACTTTAAATGCCTCATTTGATCCTTATTCCTCAGTCATTCTTCCTGCCTAATCGTCACATAACGTATCCAGTATGGAACCGTTTTTAAATTCTGAGAAGCCAAAGCTTTTGTTCTATTGAAATCTTTACTACATTTCCAGAAATTGGATCTACTTCCCTAGCCGGAGCGATCACCTCTTCGAAAAATGAATCACTTTTTTTAATTTTCATGGATCCACACAACTATGGAGGCCGGTCATAATCTTATCAATCCGAAAAGCAACGAAATATTCTGTCTTCCCTAAACCTTTTCGTCCCACAGCTTTGACATTTTTGCCTCAAATTTTGCTGGAAAGATTATACTTAAACCTCCATTCCCTTAGCTTAAGAAGGTTCCGAATGGTTCGTTATAGTTTGCGAAAAGACAAAGTTATCTATTTCATCATTAAATAACTTTGTTGAATCGTTTACCTATCTTTGACTACTCCAAATTCTCGATCAACACCGTTACATGAAAATTGGGATTACTTGAATGCTCCAAGCGATTTTTCATCTAGGTGTGCAAATATTTTACTGTTTGAATATGAATCACTAACATTGGAAAGGCTTCATTTAAACGGTAGATCAACAAATGCAGAATACTTCAAAGACAAGTGCTGTCCCCATACTGATTTTCTACACACATTTGTGACATTTCTTTAGCATATTTTGTACGTATCTTTCAATAAAGGATGGCTTTCGCGGTGGAAACCCAATTGAACTTACCCCAAATAGGTTTTACGATGCGATAAAAAAGTTATGAAACTATCGAATAATTGCACGGATTATCATTTCCGTTTTGTGTAGAACGATTAGCGTAGAGATAAAGAAGCGATTGCTCACTAAATTATTGCGTTGGAATACCCTCCCTTCACATACTCTGAGTTCATAAACTGTCGTCTCGTGTAAACGTGTTCTGGGAGTCACCTCTATAGTAATGTGGTGATTTTGCATAGGATATCCACTCGCTTATTTTATCGAACGTGATGTTCGAATACATTCTCAATTATCGCAGAGTCGGCCTGGGCAAAGAGTAACCGAACGAATCGCCGTGTGGGTTAACATACTGGTGAACGAATCACACACGATTGATCAAGGTCAAATATCAACCCCACGCCACACACCCGTTCGATCGCTTCTCGCATGTTAGAGACTGGGCATACAATGAATGTGACCAGTGCATTTGAAAGTGTTTCCATCAGGCAAAACTCTCGGTTACTGCAGTTTGCGCAGTCGATTACAATAAAACGATGGAAACCTGAAACGTACAAACGAAAAGAGTTATTCGTAACTCTAGCCCAACCTTGGAAAAAATGGCCGAAGTTAAAACCAACAGCCAATCCACGATAACTGTGATTTATTAGTTTTTATTATACTTTGGTGCCGTACCTGAAGAGATAGTGGGAATTGTCCGGAACTAAATTGTGCGAAACGGAGCTGCTTTTATGCCAGACGAAGTTATACTGATATGTATATATATACATATATATATATATATGTACAGGTGTTGATCAAACTCGTGCAACGTCACTCTGGTTTTGGAAGTACAGTTCATTCTCCACTATTCTATTTGTATATTGATAGCTATAGGTAAAGTGTATTTATTTCTGACTTAATCTCCCACATCCATGTTCTTAGTTCTATCAAACCACGGTTTGAATTTCCCTGAACTTGAGTTGCTATTAGAAACAAAGACTACGTGGGTTTTACATCGGATATGATCCCTCTGAAGTGGGTCAATGTCATGTTCAATCCTGTGAATCAGGCTGGAAAAACGAAGCACTGAGAGGAACAACTGTAGTGAAAATCAGGATTTTGCACTAGTTTGCTTAATGACACCTACTTGCGGACAAGTGTGATGAAAGGCCATAAAAATAATGACGAGATAATAACAATCGCAGGGGGTGGATGGATTGGGATACAGGACAAAGTGAAAGGTAAGTGAAACAGTTACAATAGAAAATATTACATTCATGTATTAACACTTAATCAAATACGACTTCATTCTTGATTTTTAATCTCGAGTAGTTTTGATTGGTTGGACTATTACTGCGCTGAATTCAATACGTATACGATTCTCTTGTCTAAGTACTATTTCGTACAGATGGCCTTCCGGTCCTTTGGAACGAAACGGATTCCTGCAGCTTGTAGAACCTCATCAATAAAAGTGGCGCTCAAGAGGTCGAAACTTACCTAGAAAGCTTCGGGATTTGTGTTAAACACCAGGGGTTCTCTATGGACAATACGCAAATACTAATTTCCTAACGATGACCGGAATGGACGCATGCTCTTTGTTAAAGAATTCGTCTTTTCCGGACACACCTATATTAACGCGTGACGAAACCTTGAAAATATTATTGGTGAAATATTTATAATCAGTCACTTTTGGGGTCATTGAGTGAGCTGAAGCTCATTTGGTCACTCGCGGTGTAATTCAAGCCATAAGTGAACTAAATTTTCCGGCTTCAAACTCAAGCACCGTGGTGTGATTTCAATGATCAACTACAAACTGTGCTGTGTGATGAACTAATTGCTGGTACTGATTTAACTGGACTTCGATAAAACCTTTTACGCATCCATGATCGTTTATTCCAGTCGGTGAAGCAGTTTGTGAACAGTACTAAGACATTCGTGCCATATTTTGTGAAGAACGTAGTGTGTTGTTCAGAGCCAGTAATTCCAAACAGTCACCATCTTGAGGAATGCGATTTTTCAAAAGTACTAAACTGCACCATTACCTCGGCTCGCAGTGAACAATGGATTCAACAATGAAAAAGATGCAGTTCTTGTAATGAAATACATTTGTGATTGACTCGTAGGTTTCGTAATGCCAAGTTTCACAAGTACGACCGTATTCAGTCCATTGGTAAAAGTTCAAAACCGCGTCTTAAAAAACTAAGTCTTTTTCAGTTCCCACCTTTCCTATCACCAGTAATGTTCCAAGGAAAGATTGGCTTCAAAATGACTCCTGTGAATCTATATAGAGGTAACCTTTGTTTCTCGGTTGGTGACTCTTCGCACTATTCCGTTTGGAATTCAGGTGTCTGTAAAGGTGTTAGGCGAGATTGTCAGCAAGGGAGTCCTTACAAAAGTGAGTTGCTTGGCTTAGGCCACACCAATTGTTAATCCGTGATAGGAAGACTCCTGTAATAAGTGTTTCTTTGAACCGATTATTGAATCAGTCTAACTATGTCATTATTGAAACAGAAAATGTTCTATATCAGCTTCCTGCGTCTAAGAACTTATCTATTCGGGACTGGGTTTCTCTGGATTCCCGCTAATGAAAACCCGCTTGGATTTACCACTATCAGTGCACCGTTTTCGATACTTTTTGGACTAAGCGTTTTGTCCGCTGCTTTACAGACTACGAATAATTACATCCCCTCTGGTTTATAAAGTGTATGGCTTATGA